GTATATATATATATGTATGTATGTATATATATATATATATGTATATGTGTATGTATGTATATATATATATGTATGTATGTATATATATATATATATTTATGTATATATATAAGTATATGTGTTTTCTTTAATTTCAAAGTGTTGTGTGTGTATGTGTATATGCGTGATTTTGTTTCCACATGTATACGGCTGGACTTTACAACCCTTTCTACCAGCCTTTTACTTCTTTCTGTCATTAAGTGTTTGCGGCTACAATTCCCCCTCGTATCTGACATTTTATTCACCTTTTTCTTTTGCTAATAAACTCGAATGATTCGGAAGCCTATCCATGAAACTGTCTTGACTACTGCGAAACCTGCTAGATGTGCACCCACAATAATGCCTTTTTGAACGCTTCAATATATCTGCCTTACTCCATATCTTTAAAATTATCTGCAAATGTGCTTGTCCCAGTTATTTATAGTGCTGCGAGGACCACCTGACACATCATGTGATCAAACTAATTGGTATCTGCAGTTGAGATCAGGCACATAGTTCCTAATAAAATGGTCAGACTCTGTATAAGAGTTTTTGAAAACTCTGTCATTTATCACAGAAACAGGCCTTTTGAAGCGATAGAATTATTTTCTGTATTTCAGTGAATTATTTCAGTTTTACGGAGGAGACAGTAAGGGACTACGATCGTAAACTTCTCGGAAATATTTCACGAGCATTAATTGATTGGATTAAAACATACACTGTAAAATTCCCAAGAAAAAGATTGATTCTTCCACCGGTCTTTCATCCGAAACCGTATTCTGTGATGATTTATCAAGTAAAAAAGCTGATATACTGAAAAATAGTAGTCAGACATTATATCAAATACTTTACGTACGTTAAGATATTTGACAGCCTTTGTGAGTAGGAATATGGATAACTTTCTTGCAATTGTTTTAAAAGAAATTACTAACAGATAAACTTGTAAGCGGTCACTAATTAAATTTCAACAATTTGCTTACAAAATGTTTCATAGTTACCAAAATTTGCTCGAATTTTCCACGTAGATAATAAAATATCGGACATATATAACTATTCTATCTTCCTACAATGAAGCTCAGATCCAGAAATATCGAAAAGTGCCTCAGTGTCTGAGTCTTAATTAATTAACCAAACTATTGGAAATCTAGTTAAGATATCCAACAGTTCGTGCCTACTGCCATCATGTTATTCCCTTTTGTTGTTGTTTTATATCTATACAAGATTAGTTTTCATTACATGTTTTACATCTTTACATTAAATATAACTATAAAAACATTGACCATAACTATTTATTACTGAAAAGGTTGTTTTTCTTCAGTTAAACTTTCTAAAAATATTGGTATATGTATATATATAAAAGAAAAAGAGTCTTACAAATAGTGAATATATCACAAAATTCAAAAGCACAAAAGGATAATCGCTTTTATTAAGAAATATTTGCATATGTTAATATACTGGTACACTAATATTATTCATGAAATTATATTCATACAACACATTCATTGCAGTTAACATTTGGAATATACGTACCATATACGGTGTAGCAAGTATATAAAAGTCATCATATTATATCATGTTTGTTATGTGTGTTTAGAAGCATATTTACTATTTTCAAATGTGTATAGCTTTATTCTTCATTAAAGATTAATCAGTTAAAGTTAAATAATGATATACTTACCTCGCAAGCGAATCTCGATGACCAGCTAAGTAGAGAAAAACAGAAACCCTACTTTTGATGACTTTTCAATGTTCAAATTGAAAGAAAACAAGAGAATTGAAGGAGCTAACTTAGTCTCGACACTCAAATAGGAATGTTTAGAATTAATGAGAAATTAAAAATATAATTCTGGGGAAACAATTTCGTAACCTAAATTTAATAATTTAAAATTATATCTTGAGAGAGGATGGTTTAAAATATAAGACGATCAGCACATACAGTTTCTCTCTGAGTAATATCTGTACCGACAGACCTTCGGGTAACATTCGCTACGGCTGAACGACGATTTCCCACAATTCTCTGCGCCACTTTATACAATGAGAGAGAGTAGATCAATAAGGGAGCTATTCCATGTGATTCGAAGAGATTGTTTTCTATAGAAAAGTTTACGTAGATAATAGAACCCATTTACACCTCATTTATCTGTAAGAACTTTCTGAAAAAGTAGCTTAAGAATGGGTCAGTAAATTTCAAAGAGGGATTTCGAAGTTATCCCATAAGACTAACAAAGGTTTTTCACATAATAAAAGCAGTAGTTAATAGCTATATGATTCTTCTTTTTTTATGTACTACTGAGTACAAGTAGCCTACTGTTTTCCTCTTCGAAAACACACAAACCGCTGTATCTCAAAAATGAATAAAACAACGCAACCGAATACGTTAAGGATAGCACACATATAGACTTCAATAAATAATGAATTTTAAGTATATAGTAAATGAGATCTAGCGGAATACTAACCGATACATCTGGCTGTTTAGAAAATACTCTAGCAAACAAACCTGTTGAGTCCAGTGAGCTTCAACCTTTGTTTTTATTATTATTTAATTTATTTGTTAAGGGTGGATATTAATAACGCTAAAATTATGTCAAATTACCTTTAAAACAATGAAATCACACACACACACACATATATATATATACGGTCATTTGTGTGTTTAGCTAGGACTTAATTGTCATATGCATAGATTATGTTAAGATGGTATCACATCTCATGGCATTTCGAAACTGAGTGAAATTAGAGAGCATGCCCAGCTTCACAAACATGTGTTCTAACGAACCAAATTAACGAAGTATCTAACAGTGTAACTCTCGATCTTTAAGTCTGTTCTTAATCTTAATTAATTGTCCGCTTTCATACAATTAGACAGACATACAGCTGCTTCTCCACATTCCGCTTTTCTTCACATTTTGGTTTCGTATAATTATACAGTGATGCTATTGTTTCTCCACTAGCTCTCGTCTGTTTTTACGTACGACCAGTACCTGTGAATTAACAAAGTTTCTTGCATTTATGTTATTAATACTTTTAATAATAAATCTAAAAAAACGACACCTACTGTCCAGATTTTTTTCTATCTTTATTATATTACAAATTCTTAAAAATAACAATTTTTAGTATTTTTAAAGGCTTCAGTTGCTGTATTTTTTTCTTTCAATACTATAAAAGTCAATGTAAAGTTGGAACTTATAAAATATAATATATTTTGTTCAAAATTGTCAAATCCATGGTACAATTTGGTATTTTCAACCTAAATGGTGCATTATGCAACACATAGCCTAAACGACCAGATCAGAACACCTCAAGATTCAAAATGTTAAAACAGCAGTACCTGGCGATTATGCCCCTATTTTGAACCCAATAGCGGGGCTAATTGTTATACTTATAATCCCCCCACATACACTCACCTAACTGTGCAAAGTGTATTCATTTGCATTGCACAACTCGAACGTTAGACTTTCTGGTACGCAGCGTTGCGTGCTAATCACTAGGCTGTGACCTGCTTTCACGGTACGAAGTTTTTAAATATCTAACAAATAACGGTGAAGAAAAAAGGACAAACTATATAATTCTTAGATTTTTTGGGGTCGTTTTTCAAATAAAATACATATGGTTTTAATCATAACCAAGATAATATTTCTCGTGTACATCTCGAACGGACGAAATTAGTATTAATTTAAACTTATAATTTGATAGGTCAAACCACATTTATTATGAAAACTTATGATTCAACTTTATTGAAGACACTAGAAGTTGTGTAATTTGTCAAGTTTTCAAGGGAACTACAATATTTGCTTCAGTGGAAGGTTTTCAAGGGAACTACAATATTTGCTTCGGTGGAAGGTTTTTGTCACCAAGACTGTACTTTTTCTCTATCCACTTCAGTGTTTTCATTCTTTTTGAAGTAAAATAGCTTCGTGGATCACTATAAAGGGATTAGGAAAAGATCACTAATAAAAACGGATTCACTCTATAAAGGATGGAGCTTTTTAGACCTAATCAACGATTTTAATGAACGCATATCTACGAAGAACTGGGTACGTTATGTTTAAACTATTTTGGACGTGCAAACCAGCAAGTCACGTGACAGCCTCGACCAATATAAAGTTGCAGTGGAATAGAATGTAATATAACTACATTTTAACATTGCTTTCGTAGTTAGTGGGAAGTTATCGATTTTGGGAAAGGTATGTAACAACTATTTTCGATGCAAATTGTTCACACTGATTATAAAGGTATGTGCAGGTTGGGAATTTAGAATTTCTAAGACGTTGTATCCCTTGAAAGGAACGACATTGACATAACAACGGAATATGGATCAAGTTGGAACACCAGGACCATCCAGAAAAAAGACCTACAAGAAATTGTACCTCAGTCGTGGTACGCTAAGTGCGGCGTCTTGTAACAGAGGAAAATCCACCAACGTAAAGGTCAGGCCCTGTGCCAGGTTTTCTGTGGTCTACTTAATTCTTCGTTTTTTTTTATAGGAAATATAAATAAGAACAATATAGTGAATAAAAAATAAGTGCAGAGTTGATCAAAAATTAAAATTCTATAATACATTGAAATGTAAATATTAAAAGCTTTTTTATGGTCCCTTGTGATTGGGGCTTTGGTGCACTGTACCATTTGTACTTTCCCACCACCCTTAGCGCCGGTATTCTCAAAGGTAAGTGGCAAAAGCCGTCCATATGCCCCAGGCAACAGTAAGCTACACAATCATGAAGGATCTTCATCTGGACACGAAGCCAACAGGGTATGGCTTCCAGATATACTTTTCGTTCAATAGTCGCATATATCAAGCAGCTGAGAATGAAGCGTATATTCATGCTGTTCTGTAGAAAGTCATATTGGTGAATTCGCCTGGCGCAGCACTTATGATTTTCTGTGCGATCATACTGTTGAAACGAGTGCATGCATGTACGTCCTCGTACACGCATGCAGAAAGGAGTTGCATGATTTGGACGTGACAGTCTTACGATATAGCATTTTGCAATAGAAACTAAGCTACAGGGCTAGTTTCAAGGTACACGATCGTCAGTAAATGTGGTGAATCTCTAAAGTCATTTTAATACAACTTACTTGACAACTCCGTATAATATACAGATCACCACTATGAGAAGCCTAGCCTTGTTTTTCGATTTTGCCTTTTATCAGAGTTACTAATGAGGATGTGGAATTCCCCGAAATATGTTTAGCTCAGTGAAATAATATTGAATGAAATTATAGACTGAACTTCATCTTTCTTTTTTCGCATATCGAAGTATTTAAAAATTGGACGTCAGAGCAAAAAAAGTAGAATAGCTATTTTTTAAAACAAGAACTACGTTTTAAAGAAACGCTGTACACATTGTAAATCATAGTGTTAACTAAATATCTTGTAAAAACAAAAACAAAAGTTTTAAACTATAAGAACAGATAAATAAAATTATCGAGTGCATGAATTACGTACAAATACATCAAGTCATTAGTTCTCTGATGTTTCGGACTTTCAAAGGAACGTGTTATTTTACAAGTAATACCCTATAAAAAAACTATGGCTGCTAACCATTAGTGACATACCGAGAAATAAGACGATTGGACAAAAAATTTCAATTCACCAAATATTTTGATAGAGTTCATTGTTAGATTAGTTTCAGCTGTAATGTGCGAATAACGTTACAAAAATTATCACGTGGCAACCGAAAATAAATTCAAAAATCGCTCATCTCAGATGCAAATAAGAAAGATTTATAAAAGCCCAGCGTTTTTAAATAGTTAGTCATCTGCAAGAAACAATTCGGGAAAAAAATGTTAAATTTGACTTACGATTCTTAAAAAAGCAGCTTCAATAATCAGTTAAAAGGACAGCGATGAACCTACTGTACTGGAAGTTTAATAACGATAATAAAATTAACACTATTGTTAAAAAAGACAAATTGATAATTTTTTTCACGTTTTTGTACTGTTTGATGTCCTTGAAAACACGTCAAGTGACAATAAGTATATTTGCAGAAATCATTTCTGAGTACAAACTCCATGGATTAATAACAACTAGGCTTTTTCAAGAATTCGTTTGTTTGTCTAGCCGTCCCTAATTTAGCAGTGATTGTCAACACCACCTACCGCCAATTCTTAGGCTACTCTTTACAAACGAATAAGTGGATTGACCGTCACATCATAACGCCCCTTTGGCTGAAAGGGCGAGCATTTTGGGAACGGGATTCGAAGCCACATTACTCTGACTGCGAGTCGAGTTCCTTGACCATCAGGCCATGCTAGGCTCTCTTTAAAGATCACGGTTTAATTACAGTCAAAATTCCTTGTGTGATATATATATTTCAAAAACAAAAGGTCGATGCGACAAAACGATTAAAAAGCTGTTAATATAACAGAGGTATTGCATTTTATAGTTAAAGTTAAGTCATTTTTAAGCACGCAATTACTGATTCTGTTTTCAGTGAATTACTGTGGAGTTGTAGTCAAATTGCGAACATTTAAGAAGTCTAATTTCTATTCTAATAAAATTAACAAACAATTATACGTCATGTACTAATCTGTTATACAACACTAAAGTTGTCTGATCATAGACAACTTTGAAAGACCCATAAATATAGCTACGGTTTTTGAAGTTTGATCATTATTACTTATATTTTAACGTTTCTGTTGGTCAATGATAAGCTTGAGGGTATATAACAGAATTCGGAGTTCGATCTTCCGGGAAGACACAGTGCAGTTAACAAGCTATTCAGCTAGCTTGGAGCTAAAAATATACAACAATACAATATTTTAATGTAAGATGAGTGGAGTTTGTCCACGTGTGGGAGAAAACAGTGAAAAATAATACTCATACATGTTATCAAAAAAAGTCGTGTAAATATTCTAGTTCGGTTACTTAGTTTCAAACAATCACTCACTCTTATATATATAATGGTTGGAGACGGCTTGAATGGGTAATGAAGAAAAACTTTAATATAAGTTTAACAT